AGTCATATAAAAAAACCAAAATATGCAATTTTTTGCAGTCCTAGTGTTAGTCCAGTTTTTGATAATGACCTTTGTATGAGAAACAATTTTAATCAAGATAATCAATATTATTTTGGTCAATTTTCATAAGAGAAAGCAATTAGAAATGTTTCTGGTTGGTTTTCAACATCTGAATACGAAATATTTCAAGTTCAATATTCAATTTCTATTATTACCGCTCATCAGCCGGAATTAGAAACTAACTTGGTAACAATTTCCAAAGATAAATATCAATAATTTGGTAAGATTTATTGACAATTTCTGCCAAAGATAAATATCTTTTAAAATTTTTTGCTGTGATAATTGGCATGTATATTATGCTGATATAGCTCTTATGTAACTATTGAGTAAAGAAAGAACAATATTTTTTTACAAGTAATTCTTTAAAAAAGAAATGAACATTATAAAAATAAAAATCATTTGTTTCATATAAAAAAATAAGCTATCTAAAAAAAGCAAAAAAAGAAATAAACAATTATAAAAAATATAAAATGTTCTCTTTATCATTGTTTAAGTTTAAACAATAATTTATCATCATTAATAAGATCTTTTAGGCTGTCATATCCTTTAAAACTAATATAAATTATTAATTTTTTAGTAGTCATTGGAAAAATTGAAGGCTCATGAATAATATCTAAAAATAAGTTCGTGATAGCTTCTTCAACTTTAGTTTTAGCATCTTTTTTATTTGTAATATTCATAGCATTATGTAGTGAATAAACTAGATTTCGAGAGAGTAAATGTTCTTTTTCGCCCGATTGTAGTAAATGATTTTTTTCGCTTGATTGTTGTGGATAAAAATTTAATTTAACTGTTTGTGTTGTGATATTCTTTTGTTGTGGATAAAAATTTAATTTAACTGTTTGTATTGTGATATTCTTTTCATTATGTTTACTAATATTTTTATTATCCTGAACTTTAGAGAATTCTATCTCGCAGAATTTATCACCTTCTATTACTTTAAATTTCTCATGTTTATGAAATTATTGATTTAACTTATAATGATAACAAAACAAAAGATCTTCAGAAAATCATTTATTCGTAAACTCTGGTAAATATAGTTTTGGTTCGCTAACTCTAGTAAAAATAATTTTAGTAGAATTATTTCGTAATTCTAGTAAAAATAATTTGGTTTAAATATTTTTTCTGTAACAAAATTTTCAATACGATTATGACCAATCTTTTTTTATTCAATTCTACGAATAAAATTCATAATTTTGGTAAAAATAATTTTGGTAGAATTAATTAAGAATATAATTTATATCTAAACATAAATTTAGGCCAAACCAGAGCATGAATTTATTCGTATTCACTTAATTAAAATTGAATCTGAACTGAGTTCTTGGTAAAAAACTTTTTACAATAATAATCCAATAATGTAATTTTTTTCATGTTTTTTCTATACCTACGTTCATTCCTTTAGATATCGCATATTGATAGAAAAAATATTCTATAATATGTAAAGAGATAAAAAGAGTGTTTTTTGAAAGAGACTAGAATAGTGAATATTTGGGGAGCTTATTTATTTTTTTTTAATAAACTAATTATTGTCGATATTGCTTATTTTTTAAACATGATTGACGTGAAAGTATCGATTGAAAATTGTCGATACTTTCATGTCAATAATGTTTAAAAAATAAGCAATAAAGAAGACTACTATTCGATGATAATTAGTTTATTAAAAAAAATAAGTTTGAAGCTCCCCAAATATTCTATTATTCTAGTTTCTTTCGAAAAACACTCATTTTATCTCTTTATCTGGCATGAAGAAATAAACAATAAACAGGATATTAGTTTTAAAGGATATGACAGCCTAAAGGATCTTATTAATGATGATAAATTATTGTTTAAACTTAAACAACGATAAAGAGAACATTTATATTTTTTATAATTGTTCATTTCTTTTTTTTTTGCTTTTTTAGATAACTTATTTTTTTATATGAAACAAATGATTTTTATTTTTATAATTGTTCTTTTTTTTTTATATGAAACAAATGATTTTTATTTTTATAATTGTTCATTTCTTTTTTATTTTTATATTAAAGAATTACTTGTAAAAAAATATTGTTCTTTCTTTACTCGATAGTTATACAAGAGCTATATTAGCATAATATATAGCAAAAAATCTAGCATTTTAAAAGTTATTTATCTTTGGCTGATGAGTGGTAATATCATATAAATTGAATATTTATTTTTCCTGAACTTGGAATATTTCGTATTCAGATGTTGAAACCCAACCGGAAACTTTTCTAATTGCTTTCTCTTATGAAAGTTGACCACAATAACATTGATTATCTTGATTAAAATTGTCTCATACAAAAATTATTATCAAAAACTAGACCAACAGTAGGACCGCAAAAGATTGCATATTTTGGTTTTTTTACATAACTTAAAATAGAAGAATGAATAAAGCTATTATAGCAAACCACATATTTACAAATTGATTTATCCCATTGAATAGAATTATACCCACCAAGAATTTCATCTGTATCTTTAACTTTCAAAACCAAAATAGTATTTGTTTGCTTATCACATTTTTTCCAAAATGTTTGAGAAGTAAAACCATCTCTAGTTCCACAAATAAGTAATTTAAATGCATATGAATTACCTTTTGCTGAATAAGTTTTAGTTCTCTTATCAATCCACATTGCAATTTCTGCTGTATACTTTTCATTAATAACTGTTGAAAATGGATCCACTGGATGTGATAGTAATGATTGCGGCAAATTTATGCGAGGTAGAAAAATTTTTGAATGAATATTTCGATTTGAATTTGTAATTCTTTTAAGAATATCTTTCAAAAGATCTTTTTCTAAAATTTCTTGATATAGCTCTATGTTATTAACAATATCATCTCCTGATATTTGAAAATAACGAATATGAGATAAACAATTTTGTAATTTATCTTTTAACGATTGAAAATTTTCTTTAGTCCAATTATTTGAATCTGTTAATAATCCTGGATTTTGTACAATTCCCATTTAATTATTTAATTCCAAACTTTTATTTATTCCATTTGTAAATATTCACGTTTAAGAAGAGATATTAATGCATTTTCTTGAAGTGATGTAAAATCTTCTGATTCAAAAATCGTTTGTAGATACTTTACCAAAATATCATTGCACCATTCTTGTGATTTTTGATATTGGTTATTTTGAAAACTTTTTTGATATATTTTTCCAAAATGAAAACGAAGCCAATGAGCTTTTGTATCGATTAAATGAATTTTAATTTGTTTAGTTAATTCAAATAGAAGTAACTCTGAAGAAATAAACATAAGTTCAAAAATGAATGTTGTGTCTTGATTTTCTAATAAAACCACTCCTCCATAAATATATTTTTTTAAATTTTTAATTAGAATTAGTTTCTTGAATATGTATATAATTAGATGCATATAGTAACTCATTTGATAATGATTTCAAATTGTTGAATAGTGACATTTTTTAAATTAATCGTTTTAAAATTGTTTGTAGTAGTAGCGTTTGCTAATTTATCTCTAAAATACAATGACCTATATCTTAAAACATTTGAATGTGCTCAGAATATCTTCGTATTTGGTGCTTCACCAACGTTAATGATTATATTAAAATCTTCTTTATCATCAAGAAGTTCAAGGAAATTTGTAGAAAGTTTTTTAAATGGTTGTAGGTACAATTGTTAAACTACTGTAAAATTAAGTAATCAATAGAGTTGTTAAATTTTTGCAGTAAGCTACAGTGCCAGTAAATTACTTGTTAATTACGTTTTAAGGTATGTAAATTATACGTAATAACAATTTATAAAATTTGGCCTAAATTATACCGTACTATGATTTGATGTTAATGGTAGAAATTGTCATATGATTTGGCCAACTTTAATACCGTGGAGATCTTTTTTTTCAGCATTTAACACAGAATCATTATTTGCATTACTTCCAATATATTGAAAAGCAACAAGATACCACTCTCCTTCGACAGCCTTTATGCTACTGGCTATTTCATTTCAATTAAGGAGGCTTTGTCGCATAATTTGAATCGATTTCTTTAATACTTTAGAAAATTTTTTATTTACAAATTCTTTTCCTCCTTCAATTTTATTCAAAGTTCCATCCATTTTTATTAAGTTATATTTAAATGCCAAACCATTTTATTCTTGTAAAGGCCATACTTTTCATTTTTTTAGAGTGTGATATTTAAAGAATTTTCAATTAGCTAATTGCTTTTTAATTAAATTGGGTTGTTATTAATAAGTTATATTCAAAAGCCAGCTCTTATAAAGGTCGTTTATTATTAATTAAATTAAGTTATATTCAAACACCAAACTATTTTGTTCTTGTAAGTGCCATACTTTAATGAAAAAATTAATTTTTAGGGTGCAATACTTTAAGAATTTTCAATTAGTTAATTTTTTTGAATTAAATTAGGTAGTTATTAATGAAGTTATGCAAGCAATTTTATTAAGAGAATATTTAAACAATACCAATATTGTTTGGAATTAATTGTGTTTTTTTTAATGAAAGTAATTACATTTTTATTTTATTTAATTTTTTTTTTTGAATAATTATTATAAGAATATAATAAATTAGAAATTTTTATTTTATTTTGTGTGTTTAGAGATAAGCAATTATATTTAGACAAATAATTATTTTTCAAAAATGAAAATAATTTTATATATTTTTTTTAGAATTTTATTAAATTGCATTATTTAAATAATTTGGATTAAAAAAAATTCAAGAAAATTTTTAGCACAAATTCATCCAATATATTCGCTGATTCTGCAATAGATAGGAAACTTTCAGAATTTTTTAATAGATGAAAATTCATTCAACTTTCTTTTTCTTCAGCATACTGAAATAATTTATTAGTAAATTATTTCATGCACTTTAAAGATTTTATATGCTGCGTAGATATCTTTTGGTCTCTTAATGAAAACATTCTTCTGAAGTTTGTTTTTAGGCAAATGAAATATTGAGTTTTTATAGAATGAGAATTTCATGAATCAGTTTTCTATATAAATATTGATCCAATTTAAATTTATTTAAGTTAAAAATACAATATCTGATATTAAAAAAATGCGCAAGTAAAATTGCAATATTTTTAGAAATAAATATTTAATCATAAAGTTGATTGGCTTGTTTTTCTCATAATTAGTTTTATATATAGTATTAAAAAACTTAGTGTATTTACAAAAAAGGTGGTGCGGAATACTTGTTATGAATTAATTCAAACAGAATGGTATATTTAAATACTATACTAATTCTATAAATTATTTTTACGTCTACTGTAGAAACTTAAACAATATCCTATTGCTAATTGCCTACATATTTGGAATAATTAAGCAAAATCAATTAAATTTAATTGCAAACTTCACAAAGTACAGTCCAATAAAGATTGCTTGGGAAGATATATTTAAAACTAGATGAGATAATAATGAAAAGGTTGGTTAATTTATTAAATCGGTGCAGTTTTTGCAGTAGTGATGGTGATACTTAATTGTCATATTCAATAATTTATAAAATTATAAAAACAAAAAAATTTTTTAATAGATCATTATACTATATCGTACAATCAGAAACTGGAATGTCAAACTTGGTTTTTAATGTGAGAAAGTAAATTGAATCTTATGAATGGTATAGTAAATAACATAGAATTAATTATGCCTCAAGAAACTAATTAAATTCAGTAAATGTATTATTGCTTTGCGCCTTGATTGAGAAGTCAAAATGGAGATTTCGAAAGAAATAATCAAAAATAATTTATTAGTTGAATATTACAGCTTTTCATGATATATTTCACAAAATATGTAAATTTTTAAATAAAAAAGGAAAGTTTATAGACAAAAACCCTGAAACCGAAAAGCAAAACAGGTTATTTCTTGAGAAATATTGGGAAGTGCATTGGACATTATTTTATTGGTACGGATATTATTTATATAATGGAATTGGTGGTGGCAAAGATGAAAATAAAGCAATAGATTTTTTTAAACAAGCTGCTTTCAACGATG